TTAAATATTCATTTAAGTGCCTTAATGTACCAACTCTTAATCTAGAGAGCCACAGTTTCTAGATTGAGTACCTTAGTTACATCTGAAGGTTGGAAGATGGAAGTTATTCAATCCTTCAGTCAAAAATGTGCCTCTTCGTGAATGATAAAACATAAGACATTGGGAAAGAACATTTAATGCTCTTCTTGGGAACCATGGAATTTGCATTTCATAGAAGGGATTTAATTAAACTCCATTGGAATAGAAGGTGCTGGAAACAATTGCAGACAATTGCTTGCTTTTGTTACTGCCTAACTCTGTACTTATCACCCCTTGCAGCAGCTGAGTAGGACCTGGCCCTCAGCACCTGAATGCTGTACATTTCAGTTGCTTAGTCAAGTAACAGCCAAACAAAAAGACAGGCCATTGTATGATTTATTTTTTCTTAATTTGAGGGTACTTTTTTGAAAAATAGATTGCACTACATAAACACTAACTCTCTCAACTGATGAACCATTTCTTTCTTCTTGAGGACTATGGTTCAACTAGGATTTTTCTCTTTTAGCTACCGGTATGTATAAACTAGCTGAAAGCAAGTCCTATCAGGTCGTCTTATTCCTTCTGTCCAGATAGCTGGGCTTTGTATCATTTTTAGTGGCCCTTCATGTATTTTTTCTTTCATGCAGTCATTCAACAAACCTTGTACAACTACTCTGTGCTACAGATAAAAAAGTAAACAGGGGGGCGCCTGGGTGGCTCAGTGGGTTAAAGCCTCTGCCTTTGGCTCAGATCATGATCCCAGGGTCCTGGGATCGAGCCCCACATCAGGCTCTCTGCTCAGCAGGGAACCTACTTCCCATTCTCTCTCTGCCTGCCTCTCTGCCTACTTGTGATCTCTGTCAAATAAATAAAATCTTAAAAAAAAAAAAGAAGAAAAGTAAACAGGGCCCTAGACCAGTAGAAAAAGACATACAAGAAAGGCATTTGTAATTCAGTTTAAGTGCTATAATAAAAACTATGCTCAGATTGTGGTGCTGGAAACACAAAGACGAGGAAATACTCCTAAGCTAGAAAAGCCTACATAAAGCATAATAAGACTAAAAATAAGGAAATCCTTGGACACTATATTAGCATTGTCTGATCCTCCATCAATAGTCAAAATGAGTTCCTTGAGTTCAAGAGTCCTGATTTATTTTACTAACTCATGTTCAGTACTTTTGTGGAGGTGATCTATAGAAATATAGCAAAACGTACTTTCTTGAATCTCTTATACACAACACACATTTTCCCCTCAAAAGTAGAGTTATTTTTAGTAAAGAGAATAAGGACTTAACTAATATTAACCTGTAAAGAACAAGGTAAGTGTGGCAGTATATATGCTCATATCTGTTCTGTGTTGGGTTATTACCTTCCTACTTTAATAAAAGTCCTAGTGATTTTTCTAAGGCCTATGCTATCCAGACCATCTAGTAGAATACCAGCTAATTTCAGTTATCATTAGTTACTAATTCCTGAAGTATATGACACCTTTAAGAATTAATCAGGACTTCCTTTTCATCTTTATAGCATTTCTATCATTGATTACAGTACTTCTCTCAATATAATAAGTAAATAAATGTCAGTATCCCCCCATGAACTCAGGTCAGGAACTATGTTTTTGTTTATCTTTGGACACTGAGTCAGTGCTGTGCAGATTGCCTGGAACAGAGAAGACCTCTGATAATATTTGTTGAATGGATGAATATTCACCAGTTCTGGTTGTCTAAGTAATTTTATATTACCCAACTAAATGTGTCACTCAGAGATAAATAACATAGTAACTCATAACAAAAAATTGGGTTTCCTCTTTTACCTCTTCATTTTGTACATGAATTTCTAGCTATTTCCCTAATTATAATAGAAATATAATTCCATTATTATTCCTAATTTCTAAAAGAGTGGCCCTCTAACATGCTAGCCACCGGAGCCTCCCCAATAAGCAAAACATGCAATTGCTTGAGGTTCCTTCTGTCAGGGCACCTATAATGGTCATGTACCAATTAGGACAAGAACAGCAGACAGCTTTCATTTGTTTTTCTCTCACTTCATTATTTTATCTGATTTCAAAATCCATTCTCTACTTCTGAATTCTCCTAAGTTCTAGATCTTTAATTTTTAACTGATTACTAAATATTTCCTTCTATCCCAGTTCTCCCCTCATAAAACCTGATCAATATTTAGTTTATTCCATCTTGGTTTCCTTTCCTCAAAAATCATTCCCATCTTTCAATGTCCAGCTCAAAGGTCACCTCTTCCAGTGCTGCTCCAGGCCTATCATTCTCTTTGCCCTTCTTTTATTGCACTCAACACGTCCTCCCAAAGGTCTTGCATCCCTGTGGACAATCTCTAGTGACAGCACGTGGAGTTTCCTGAACAACCATGCTCTCCCCCATTTTTATGCTTCTGCAAGTTCTATATCAAGCTAGAATGCCTTGTGTCCCCATTCTTGCATTATATCCCCATTCTTGTAGTCTTCCACTGTAGAGGTTACCAACCACTGTAAATGTTGGAATACAGTGTTGTCTTTTTCAGCAGACTCTTCACACGTGTGGGTATGCACACACACACGCATGTGTAAAAACTGATACACTCTACAACTAACACAGTGCTCAGTAAACATGTGATGAATGGGTGGATGATGCTTAAATGTGTAACAAGCCCAAGATCCTAAGGTAAAATTAGGAAAACACAAAAATTGTGAAATAGTGGAGTCGCTTTGGAACACAGTTTGGTGTTTCCATATGACTCAGCAATTCCACTTCTAGGTTTACACTTGAGAGAAATGAAAAGATATGTTCTCACAAAAACTCATGCACAAATATCATGCCAGTGCTCTTCATAATATCCCCAAAGTGGGAATAATACAAATGCTCATCATCTGAGGGTTGTGCACCCACATTATGACTGTTACTTAATCACCAAAGGAATAAAGTACTGATGTGCATTACAACCCAGATGAACCATGAAAACATTACGCTACACAAAAGGTCACATATGGTATGAGTCCATTTATATGAAATGCCAGAACAGGCACAGAGACAGAAAGCAGATTACTGGTTGCCAGGAGGGGAGGACAGAAGGGAATGGAGAGTGTTGTTGATGGGTTCAGGATTTCTTTCTGGAGTCATCAAAACTTTTATAATTAGCTAGTGGTTATAGCCGCACAACTCTGTGAATATACTAAAAACCATGCAGATGTATACTTTTAAAGGGTAAACCTTATAGTATGAGTTATATCTCAATAAAGCTACTATTGGAAAATGAACACAAGGAGGATGCTCTATCTGCTCCAGATTTTTAATCAGGGTATTAATCTTTGAAGTTACAATACAACTCTGCAGCCTAGAACTTATTTATCTTCCATGTTAATCAATTACATAATTATAGCAATGTTGGAACATTAAAAGCCCCTTCTAAATTAACCCCTTCATCACCTTATAGATAAGAAAACTTAGCTCCAAGAAGGATAAATGACTTGAACAAGATTGTACAGCTAATAGTGGGACCATGAAGACTTCACTCTTTGTCAAATCACACATCTTTTTCTAAGTTGAATTGACATCTTTCTTCCTGGAATTCCCAGGGCTTTTTTCTTTTTATTTAAAGGACAAAAATACTTTAAAAGGAAGAGTAAGATCAATTTATCTTTCATATTAAATCCAATGACTATTACTAGATTATAAGAAATATTTTTAAAAGGCTAAGGAAATAACTGCATCGTTCTGCTTCTTACAATGAGAAAAGACAACTATTAGTATTTAAAGGTTTTACTCCTAAAAAATAATTTAACATAAGAATTCATAGTAATAGTTAGGGAGAGCAACAAAGACCACTCCTTCCCTCAGGAAATGGAAAGAGATACTTAGCTAAGACACTAGATATATCTGGAAATTTTCATCTGATCCTTCAGAGAGAAATCAAATGTAGTCCACAGGAGAATATCTTTCAGAATATCATATTCTTAAGTTCCCTTTGATGGCAGAAATAGGTGTAATAGCTAACTTTTGATGTAGTTATTCACTTGGGAGATTTTCTATGACAGTGAAATTTTCTTTGAAGTTTGTATTTGTTCTTTTCACCAAGCAGGACCTTTTAAATGGAAGAATTTTTCATTTGTTTCCACATGTAAAACAAAAACAAAATCAAAACATACTACGTTTCACTGATGATATTTTTTGTTAAAAAAAAAAAAAAGTATTAGTCATTGTTGACCTTCAAAAGCTCATTGTACAAAATGCCATCCTACAACTTACAGCCAGGGGGTAACTCCGTGATTGCGTAGTGTACTACTTCCCTGACAGTGTCTACGTGAACCTGAGGACGGCATACTTGAAAGGGAGTGTGGGGAGCTGAGGGGGTGGGATGGGTGGGGAAGGATCGCCATAATGACAAATACTGCTACACGCTCACTTAGGAGATTCTGGGCTAATTCAAAAAATATTTAATGAGCACTAATTATGTGTCAGACTCCAGACCAGATGCTAGAGTGAAAGAGGGTTATGCCAGGATATTTTAGTGCCTCCAACAGGCCAGTGTTTACTCTATCAGCCATACATGCTAGTTTGCCCAGACAGCTCTGTCTGGAATGGCTGTTCCAGTATCGATAGCACTGCCTTTCACTCCTGCCTTCCTACTTATGACTCTTTAAGTCGGGGAGTGTGAAACCCGTGCAGAGAGTCTCCTCAGCTTATACGACTAATGAAACACCTGTATCTACATGCCCACAGCCATCTCTTAGACTAGAAGTCCACGGAACGGTTCAGGAAATGCTGATCCGCTTCATTCTCTTCATTTGATAGCTGAGGAGAGTTGGGCCCAGAGAATTAAAGAGACTCAGCAGGAGAATGGCAGGATGGAACTAAAGCCTAGGCCTCCTGGCCCCTTTCTCTGGAGCGCTTTCCCATACATCCCTAATTGCCATGCCAGAACACTCTAAACATGAATTTTAAAAATCCTATTATTATATAACAAATATTACTTACTTTCTCCTAATACAAAACACATCACTCAATTTTACATGTTAATTTCAACTTAAATGGAGTTCAGTTTTTTCTTTTTTAAATCGTAACTGTAAAACTAACCATAGGGAGAATCAATGAGAGAACAGTACCTTGTAGTCAACTCTTCGAGCTTGTCAGCCAAGTTTACTTATTTGCTATTCTCTACTTTCCCTCCACTTACTCTGATAAATACGAGGTGGCCAATTTCTTCATATCTTCAAAGACTCACTGGCCTCACAGGGGTGGATAAGGCAGGTAGAGAGGAGCTAATTTTATCAACTACTGGATTTTCCAGTACAAAGCATTCCGTATAATATTTTACTCCCCTTTATGGTTTTTAAAGTGTCCTTTAGGTAAAGATACTACTTTCCTGGGTCACTTGGTACCTATGAAAACTCTAAAGAGTTTTAAATACAATATAATCCCTTTATTCTTTCTGAGTTTCTACGTGCTAACAAAAGCTATTTTCTGAGTCTGGTTGCACCAGGAGATAGGACCTTAAAAGAAAATCATGCAAAGAACTCTATTTTTAAAAATCAGTTATTCACATTTTGGGTCACACATGGCCACTGCTATTTCTAGCTGACCGTATTGTAGGTAACTTAGTTCTTTTAAAGAAGAGGAAGTGGATGATTATATAAACTTAAAAAAAAACCCTATTTCTTATTAGCTAAGAAGTACAAGGAGCCTTTTTTGGGGAGGAGAACTAAGTAGAAAATACTAGTAAAATCCGGGTTTTAAACTTAGGAAACTAATTTCTGTATAGTATATCTTTTTTGCTCATTACCAAGAAAAAGGAGTCCATATTAATCTTATACAAGATAAACAATCAAGCAGATGAAAAGAAAATCACAAGGTGATTAAGGCAGACCATTTCTAGAGAGAATCTATTCTGGGATTTGTAGATGGAGATATGAGCTATATGTGGCAGAACATCCTTCTCATAATCAGATTGGAAGCTGTGATTATGGTGCAGAGCTTTGACTTTTAGAACAGAGCACTCTCGTCTGTGATTAAAAATAAAAGGACTGCCTGTGATAATTTACCATTTGAAGCAATAAACTTATTCACATCTAACTATTCAGAACCACCTCTTTAAAAAAAAAAGAATACAGATATTGATCACATCAAACATTTTCATTGAGAAGTTGACACGGACACCCATACAGTTTATCATGGATGGTCTCAGAAGCTTTCCTGTGTATGAGAAACAGAACTACAGGCCTTTTTGTACAAATTCCTGTATATCTTGTCCATGCTGTTCTCAAAGATGGGTCGGTGGGATTTTCCTTTATAAGAGGCTGCCCTGTTAGACCAGTATTCACCATCATCCAAATGGAGAGTGCCACGTGGCTGCTGAAATGAGCTATAAAAAAGGATATAAAATATTAAAACTGGTGAAACTCAATGAGAGGTAATATTATATAATTCAAATATTTACTGAGTACTTTATGTGTGATACTCTGGGCTGCGAGAAATAAAAGACAATAAGGTCTGTGCCTTCAAAGAGTGACCCTACTTGTATGAAACTATTACAAAACACTAAAGTGAAAATTGTGCTCGAGAGAGTTACGAAGAATTCTGAGAAGAGAGATTCGTGTGATGTGGTGAAAGCAGGGTGCAGACGCTGTGGGAAGGCCAGTCATGAGAGCTCCCGGCTTCCCCAGTCAGGCAGACCTGAAACTGGGTAACAGCTCCTTTATAAGCTGTGGACCCTGGGACAATTTATTTAATCATCCCAGGTCTCAGCTTCCTTTACTGTATCTTCTTCAGTGTTGTTTAAAAATCAAAGACAAGGGGCGCCTAGGTGGCTCAGTCGGTTAAGCAGCTGCCTTTGGCTCAGGTCATGATCCCAGGGTCCTGGGATAGAGCCCTGCATCGGGCTGCCCACTCAGCAGGAAGACTGCTTCTCCCTCTCCCACTCCCCCTGCTTGTGTTTCCTCTCTTGCTCTCTCTCTCTGTGTCAAATAAATAAATAAAATCTTTAAAAAAAAATCAAAGATAATGTGTAAAATGTATAGTATAGTGCTGACTCTGCACACAGACGTTATTAACCACAAGGCACTAAACAACTAGGTACTCCATATTTACCTAAAAATCTGAGGACACTCTGAAGTTGGTAGCTGTGGAAACTGAGGCTCAGTCAAGGGACTTGCCTACGGCCACCCAGCTAGTGACTGGCAGAACAGAAAGAGATACCACATCTGTGGTCTTGAGGCCCCTTCCACTACGGCACACTGCTATTGTCCTCAAGGAGGAGCAGGAAATTAGCCTGAATATGAACAACTTCTAGAAAATGGAAAACAAGGCCAAAAAGTGTATTTGAAGTGACAGGGATCCAATTTTGAGGATCTTGAAGAAAAAAGAGGAATAGATAGGAAGCTATGAAATAGACCAGGACTAAGTTGATTATAATGGTAATAAGAAAAGGCAACTCCTTTTGAAAGTTTGATAGTACTTTTAAAAACATACCAAAGTTACAAGTTTACTATCATAAATACTAAGTTCTGGGCTTAACATATCATTTGCCAGAAACAGAATGTTGACTTTTTCAAGGACTGAGTTATTTTTTTAAATAAATAATTGAGGGGGCGCCTGGTGGCTCAGTGGGTTAAAGCCTCTGCCTTTGGCTCAGGTCATGATCCCAGGGTCCTGGGATCGAGCCCCGCATCAGGCTCTCTGCTCCGCAGGGAGCCTGCTTCCTCCTCTCTCCCCCTGCCTGCCTCTCTGCCTGCTTGTGATCTCTGTCAAATAATAAATAAATAATTGACTGCAAGAAATTAATTACTTGTTATAGGTAAGACTCTCAGGCATGATAGAGATTATGAAGTTTGTACCATATAAAACTGTATGTTCTGGTTATTAAATGCCACAAATATTTTATTCATGCATTTGGAATCTCACTTCCAACAAACAATTTCTTCCTTGACTTATCAGTCCAATGATGTTACCTCTATTGTCAATTGTGAAACAGGAACTCTCAGGGCTGTGTATCTGTAAGAAGAATTTGCTATTTGATCTGAAGTCAATCTAACATCTGAACACAATAAAAGACACCATGAAAAAAGGCATGGAGTAGTTTGGGTTATCATTCTTGGAGCCTGACATGGTGGTCCATGAGGACGTGAAGTCATGAGAACATTTATACACTCATTTTGGAAGAGTTTGGCATGACCCAATAAGGTTGAATATGCAGTTTCAAGCCAGTAATCCCACTCCTGGGTAACCAAGTAAAATTCTCGCACTTGTGTACCAGGAGACATGTACAGACATGTTCATAACAACACTCTGCAAAAAAGCTAAGGACTGGAAGCTACCTAAATATCCATTTGGATTAGATCAGATATGCATAAAACGGGTATGTGCCTATAATGATATAATATGCAGCAGGGAAAATTAATGATCTATAGCCACATGCATCAATGTAGGTGAAACTGAAAAACAAATGGAGTGAAAAAGAAAACAAATTCTAAACAATACACAGTTATTCTTACATTTATATAAAGTCTAAAACAAGGAAAATTAAACAACTTATTGCTGAAGGATAGATTCATGTGTGGTATAACTACAAAGAAAAAACAATAGAAAAGCTGTAACAACAGCTATCTCTATGGAAAGAGGTGAAATTGGCTAGGAGCATAAGGTGGTTTTAGAGGTACGGCTAATGTTCTATGAAGCTGAATGGTGAGTAAAGGGTATTCATTTATCATATTATCACTATTATTATTACTTAGGATACACAAACCTTAAATATATTCCCCTATTACAAGTAATATAGGTGATATGTTTTTAAAAATTCACTTCTGTGAACCATGACAATAGGTGTCTCTACTTCCTGATGGCCTTGCTAAAATGAAATTTTACCTCATATTTTTTAGTTATATTTACTAGATCCTATCATACTTTCTTCACACTTGGGTGCTGCCTCTTTCACACTGGAAAATTTTGAAAATGATAGAGTCTCTGGGATAACAAAGGTGTTTTAAAACATGACTATCATTCTTCTATCTTGTCCATTCAGTTAAGGAGGGATAATTAAGACAATTTCTAATAATGTCAGTATAATATTTAAAATTGTTCAAAGGGCCTTAGCCAAGTCTTAGTGTTCTTGCTTTGATATAGTTACATTTCTTTCATTAGCTTTGCTGAAGAAATAGTCTAGCCACTGAATATAATTTCTGATTTCATAGATATTTTTTCACCAAGCTTCACTCCTGTTGTCATTTTTTTTTAATCAAATGATCAAATCAAAAAACTGTTTGAATCAAATGATAGGGAAATCACACACCCACAAATGTATTAACAGAAACATCTTTTGTGCCTCTGCAACCATATCTACCAGCCCAGGCATTTGCCTGTGTTCCCTCATACTACTTTAGGAATCCCACAGTGTTGCGTTTTGCTTGGTTGGTTGTTTTTATTTGTTGTATTGTTTTGCAATAAGTCATGAACTAATTAAAATTTCACAAAACACAGGTTTGTCCTTATCTCTTTTTCCACAATCATTGACTTTACTACATGCTGATGGCCAGCTAACAATGTTCTTTTTTGAATTTTATGTTTTGTTTAGTTGCCAGGCTAGTTCTACTATGATAAACTACTGAACAGAAGTCTGAATTTCTAACATACACCTCTACCCCATACTCTGGCTGCTAACCTTAAAAAACATTGTGTAGATTTCTTCTGAGATTATAAACCAAATTACCACCTCTATCATCAATTACTATAATTAATGTTACCTGGCACAGGTTTGCTACGGCTTTGGTTCCATCAGACAATACATTTTTTTTTCATGTCTCAAAGCTGCCTTAAAGTATCAGCTCCGTGGGTTGCAATGAATAAATAAAATTCAGAAAGCTTTTTAGAAGCAAATATAAACCTGATAAGGTTCTGTAAAGAAGAGCTAAAGTGGCCAAAATATACATCCTGGTGCTTTTAGAGCTCGTAAAATTTGGCAGTGAGTTTTTGCTATTTAAAATTGTAAAGTTCTTCAGTTTAATAAAGAATATTGTAATTCTCTGGAGAGAATTTAGGAATTAGTTCAGCCTGGAAATCTGAATTTCAAAACAGATGTGAACACAGAACAGGTCCTAATATGGTCCACAGATAGGTGCAGTATCATAATCCTAAAAGAGTATCATAATCCTAAAAATGATATTTACTTCCAGACATGAAAGCACTAAATCTCTGATGAACTGTGAACATATTGAGTCAATTCTGATTTTCATTACTGAATATACTAGTAAGTTTAATATGTGTAAGTGACTCTAAAAAGCTTTATTATAGTAATAGGCTTTTAAAAATTATAGTTCTCTATTTTACCAAGAGTGTCTTCAGCATTCATTCATTCAAAGCATTTTAGTGAATTCCTACTAAATTCTACAAAATACTGGATCAGTACTACATACTATCAAATGGTTACTTTCAAAATGGGGATAATATTTTATTAATGTGGTACATTTTGTTTTAACTTACTCTTGCTACTTAAGTAGGGAGCCCTGTATTTAATTATGATAATGCTATTAAGAAAAAAAAAAGAGAAAAAAGAACAGACCAGGATAATATCCAAGAACTGCACAGCTTCAATTCCTAGGTATTGATAAGGCCTAGCATATATGCAAAGAAGAGAAAGGTCTTTGGAAAGTTTAGCATGAACTAGGAGACAAGGGACATTACTAATTTTTTGCTTCGAAAAGAATGAAGTCACTTGAAACCCTGATGTTTCCTACATCAGGGTTTCCTATGTCAAATGAAGGCCAAGCATATACTACTCTATACATAGTCTTCAGACAAAATATCTCAAAATACCTCAATACTCATTGAAAAGAAGGTCAGAAGGTACGATGGATATGCTACCCCCAAAATATTAATTCAAAGAAATAATTAAAAGGCCATGAGGATTACAAAATTGGCAACTGGCCATTTGTACTAAAAAAAAAAAAATCAGAGCTGAAAGTGACTTTAAAGATGACATTCTACATTTCAAAATTGTGATTGAAGAGTCAATATGATTAAAGATGTTTATATGATAAACGAGATAAGATCTTTTCCATAATCCCCAACAAAGGTTCCTATCAAGCAAAACTTTGATTCACAAAACACGGAGTATTTTTAAGGATGTGATGTATGTGTAGAGGCGCTGGAATGGATGGACATATAGGTGGGTGGATGTATAGATGGATGAATGGATGAAAGTAGGAATGGAAGTACTCAAAAGTCTTGGGGTTTAGAATATGTAACAGGAAGAGGATATATTACGGTCTATTAAAATCTGAGAAGTATTTTGTATTTTTAAAGATACCATATAAAGGTGAAATGTCATTAAAGACATAAATTATAGCAGTAGTTCTCAAACTATAACATGCA